TTCGTATTTTTGTACAGATGCCACAGGGTCAGTTTGTCTTATACACACACACACACACACACACACACACACACACACACACACGCTTAACTTTCGTTTGCAAGGTCACAACGAACTCAGATCGCTTCAATGAAGGACCTTTCGGCAAGGCATTCCTTCAATCTGTCCTAGCAAATAATAACGAAAGTAGTTTACAACGCAGAAAGTTTTAAACAACCTAACCCAGTTGTCCCATATTTTTTTTAATAATCGAAAATGTTTAGCAATATATATATATATATATATATATATAATTTATAAAAATAATGCACAAATATTTAATAATATTAGTGCATAAAAGAGCTAATGGTCTGAATGATACAGAGTGGTAGTAAAAAATGAGCATTAATCTAATAGCGGTTCTAAGTACGACGAAGCAATGGTGGTGTGTGATTTTTCAGATGAAAATAACTAATTCGAAACACAACTGTTGTTTATTTTGTCCTGTATCGAAACACGTCCTGTTAGCCTACAGGACTAGATTAACTATTAAGATAATGCGGTACGTCGCTCACTTATAAACAAAATCACTCGCGTAACATTTCGAGCTTTACGACTGCTTCTTCTACTACGCTCGACAGACCGTGGACTTCCAATACGAAACCAATGAAATGTGTCGAGGCCGGCTTTCGGATCCAACACAGCCCACGTTTCTTCATGTTTATTAAGCAGACATATTATCACAGTGCCAGCATGGGGACACACCGATAAACTCGGCCGTAAATTCTGCTTTTGTCTTAGAGAATCAACACGAGTTCTGTGGCCGTCCTCAACAGCAGTAGATTGCTGGCGGCACCCCGGCAAATTCATAGTGCAGGCAAGCACGGAATAGCTCCCTTTTGATCCCACAAGAAATCCTACCAGGTACAGTTACCCAAAGATGAACAACTGCTCATAAAGCCGTGGTTTGGCCAGCCACAGTAAAGAGTTTTATGTTGGTAGAATCTCCTTTTACAAGTGACGGCGACTCGGTGTGAACGCTATGTTTAAGCGGAGCCGTCACTCTCGTCAACGCACGTGCAGACATCCGGCTATACAAGCATCCTTCCACCTGCAATTTGTTAGTTGAAACCGTCCAGCACTGGCGACCCCTGACGGTGCTGATTGTCACGAAGTGACACCGTATCGTTGCGGAATGACAGAAAATATCAGCAATAATCATGCGTCAATTAGGTTTCTGGATCCGAAGAAAGGCCCATTATTCGAGCGATGTGAAGGCGACGTATTTTGCCATGGACACCACTAGCCCCTTTGTGTTTATTGCGGGCAAGCGCGGTCCTCAAATTCGGCTCTTATTAATGGAAACGAACAATCGCATCATTAGCACTAACATTATCGTTTTCATCGAGGATTTCGGCTTAAAGCAATATCGGTAGCTTCAGGCAGAATCATGTAAATGAACCTGAAACTCAGATGTATTTTCTCCAGATAGGGCCAGAGTATGCGTAAGGCCATATTCAAAGCCTTAGTCACACCTTTGTCTACGTGTTTTATGTCTAGCAAAGTACTCACATGCATCTTCATGTACTAAAAATGGTACATTATTTTTTGTGCGCATAAAATTGTAGTGATTTTTTTAAATGGTACTGATCGGCACATGTGTGATGAGATCGGGTGATTTAGACCAAAAATCTTTTGGCCTACTTGAAGACAATGCTTGTTTTTCTGGCCGATCAACAAGAAAAAAATTATGTTTACAGCTTCTGCGATGGGTGGAATAATGATGTGTATGCATTGCAGTCGATAACAAGCATGCAATAACCAAACGTATTTAACATATATAAATGCTTTGTAATTATTTAAATGGAGACTTTCATACGTAATACTGATTTAAGATGAGAAAACGATATCTGCATTCACATCTGAACGAAAAGGAAAAGGTCTCGTCAGACATCGCTAAACTGTTTGTCTGTCCATGCGTAATAAAATGATGGTAAACCATTGATTGCCTCCATTGATTGAGATGGACCCAATTCCTTCTTAGTTTAAATGGCAGACAAAAATTAACCGAGGCATTGCAGTGTAAATAAGTTTTCTATCTTCTAATTGTTGCTGTTGCTACTTTTTACGATCATTTCATTTCATTGTGATTGTTATTATTAGGTTTATGTCATTCAGATATATCAAGCGGCCGCTGACGTCGTTTGGTGCGTTCGGTCCGGGTTTTCCGGATTGGGCCGATGACTTTCGTAAGCTTAGTGGCGGGTTCGCCATCCAGCTAAATCACTCTCGCCCAGTCAATCGTCCGAACACTGCTCCACCAAAGCATACCATTCAAGACGATAGCAACAACAACAGCACATCGTGGATCGTATTGTTGTGGATGACAACGACACCATGCAACACAAAATCCCTGCCGCCGTGGGCCTCTTCAGTCCGGTGATTTACAGATGGACGAGCCAACGGACGGATCGGCGACAACCTGGCAGGCAAATTTCACTGCCATCATCACTGTAACGCATACTATAGTAGCAGGCCAAAGACGCACGAGGTACATTGCCTCAGTTTGTCAGATCATCAGAACAAGGGGGAGCTACTCGTTGCCGCGCGAGCTTCGCACTTTCGCCACCAGAGGCCGCCGTTGGGCTTGCACTGATCGCTGCGGTATATAAGTTCGGGTGTTGGTTATGGCTCATTGCGCTAGACCACATCTTGACTTGAAAGGAATATCTAACACCCCAAAGGTTAGTCTTAAAGATGCGCAAATTATACAGGACTAGGTACGTGTGTGAAAACAGTGTCGATATCGATCCACAGAACTCACAGCCATGTAACGGTACAAAAACCGTACTGATTCCGTGTATATCGTTTGATAAATGAGGCTGTAGGTACACAGGAAAGACTAACCTCGACCCGTTGCCAGCGCTACTAACTTAAGCATACTATCGTTGCGTCTAAAGTAAGATTATTTATACATGCTAGATAATAGGTACTATTTGTGTTGGTGAATTCTACTTTCGATCAATATGGAGCTCGAGAATTAGACGGTTTTCTATTTTCTCGTGTAAGACCTGTAAACAAATTAGAAGTGACTGCCTTTTACTTTGTATCACTGAAATGTTTCTATTTTTGTTAGGAAGTATTTTTTATTGTAATAACACAAATTGTGGGCTTCCGTGTAACAGTTCCTAAGTTTAGTTCGCTTAACATAGCGGCAATCGAACCTACTTACTGTCTGAATACTAGATGGAGGGCCAACAAGCTTATTTTTTCTAGTGTTCTATTCCACTAGTAATTCTAGTCCACTAGAATTACTAGTGGACGTAAACTACAATTATAGGCTAAGCTTGACACATCTCGCCTTTCACTAGTTTTTGCGCTAGCAACATATATGGAAATTGACTTGCGCAAAAAACGACCCGTTATACACCTATGCGCAGGTCTTGCGCTACCTAATTTTGGAATCGAACGAAATAGCTCAAGGCATCAAAAGGATTAAAGAAAACATATAAACTCAACCTAGGCTCCATTGTGCGCAAAAACACTTCCTCAGGTACAAATAGCCATCTCTGGATTAACCGGATATTCTACAGTATTGTCAATTACCTTGAAAATGGTCCTAAATGAATGCTGCATAAAGCAAAGCATCTTCAAGCATATTTTTCCGTTCGTAGGTTCGGGGCCGCGGCTACTGTTCAATTTGATTCCATAGCACGATAACAAAATTGGTCATTTTACCTAGGCTACGGTAAGGAACAACCCTTTTAGGTCGGTCGTCCTCTCGCAGCCCGGGCCAAAAACTAGAACCGGTAATTGCTTTTCAAAAATGATCGTTTCGACTCAAGTCAACGAGTAGAAATGGAACCGATACAAACAATAACGCTCGCTATAATAAATAATAATGTTCGCTCAAACAATAACGTTATACACTATGTTCTTAATGTCTACCAAGTGAACTCGCCTGCTGCGTTGAGTTTATTGTGATTGTCTTCTGTATATCTACCGTATGCCCGACATTTCCTTTTCTAAGTCATCCTATTGTCGACTTTTGCCGAAGGTGTAAACCTTCAACACGGGGCTACATTATTGTTATCTGTAATGGCGTCCTTTCAATACGTAGTCGCGTAGTATGAGTTAATATAAAGTGCATCGTATAGTCCCATGCTGTCGGACAGGAGACATCACTTTGATGCGACTTCAGTGGATAGAGAGAACTAGCATTCTTAACGCTAAGCTCTACCGATGCAAGCAGATTATTTAGAACACCCATATGTGCTTTTGACAGTCAACCAAGTGACCGCTGATAACTAACTAATCAGGTCTGTAAACAAGGTTGAGTTTCACGCCTTGTTTTATTAAGCGGACGTCTTACCTACTCAGAGAGATAGACTTCCGGTGATTTGTCCTCCCGGTCATTTATAGTCCGAATTAAAAATTAACGATCTAATTTAAAACCAGATACCTTAAATACGATTCTTTGTGGTAGCTGAATGTTTACTCATGGGTAAGAAGGAATTTGCAGGCGGTTCACTTAAATGCGAGGATATATCGTTGACTTTAAGTAAATTTGTAGAATACTAGTTAGATGCTAGTAGAGAATTGAACAGCGTATTCAGTGCCTAAGAAGTGTTTATGATTTTAGATTGTTTATTATTCACTCTTTGGTGCGTTTAGCAATCAACAGTGGGTCACATTTAATCTCCGTAATTTGTCCCTCTTTTTCGTCTGCTAAAAATCGTGGTAAGAGTTGTGTTTCGAAAGCTTCTGCTGCACTTTGTGTAGGCCTCGATGAAACTTGCCCTTGAACTACCTCAGCTTACGTAATTCTGTCATATTTCTGCCTGACTGATGATGAAGCTTGCAGATTATAGTGGTAATAAACAAATAAAATCATATTAGCCTGCACCAATTTTACGCGGATATTACAGCTGCGCATGACATCGTAGGATAACTGCACTACAAACTGTAATTCGCAAGACTCTTATTACCTACCATTCTCCTCACTAAGTGCTACCTGGGACCTAGACACCCTTTAGAGTAGAAGTTCAACTCAACCCCCTGCTGAAACTGATCGGTCCCGTAGAGTGAAAATAAACATTTGTCCACAGTGGAACACTTTTCGATTACCAATTATACGTTACACTGCTTGCTGCACATTTCCATGGCTTCTCTTTCGCTCTAAATCTTCAACGTTCTACAAGCTAGATAGTTGAATCACTGACCGGAAAGCTTGATCGTACGCACGATCTCAGACGTTAGACGGTTCGAGATCTGAATAGTGTAGCTAGGCTTGCATTCGTAGCGAACATACCTATATCCTGTAAATTTGGGGTCAGGTCTTCGTCTTCCATTCGTCACACTTTATCTTATACCTACGTACAAACAAGTATTTTACAGATAATAGCACTAGATTATAGGTAATGCAAGTATTTATAGATAAATGTATAGCATCAGAAACCTACAGTATCGTTGGTCAAGATTGCCGCTCGACGGAGTTTGTGTGAGGATTCTTTTTTGCAGAGTCTGCAAGCCACTGGTTATCTTCTAGGACCTCTTTTCACCTTTCTTAGCTACCATTGGCATATTTAATTAATTAACAAGCTAAGAACAATGATGTTTGATCTCGACACTGAACGGGCCTATCCGTCGAGCAGCCCTATTTATTGGTACGGTTTATTGCTTCTGTTTACGTTTAGATTTCCAGCACGCGCGCCACCTGCCGCTCATTTCTAGACGACTAGCTTTTGTTACATGGCCAATGTTCAAGTAGAATTCAGGTTAGATTTATGTAGAGCGTTCGACGGGAACGGACAAAATAAGGTAAACTCCGTTCTTACTCGATTTTCAGCTAGGCAATATAAGAGAAGTTATTTATTGTATCAAGTCAACCCAGCGACTATTTCAACAGGACGAGACATCAATAGATATGGCCACGTTCTACCTGGCACTATTTGTTACGACAGTAGCAATTTCTCTCGGTACGTATTACACTTTATCTAGTATCTGTAAGATGTGGCTAGAGATTTTTACGTAAATACGCTTCAGGATATGGTGGTCTTGAGATGCTTATTCGGGTAATACAGATAACTTTTGCGATCCATTAAACAAGGAACTTTCACCGTCGTGTGATGTCCATGCGAGCGGTCAAGGTACGCTCGCGTGTCTGCCTATGTATAGGAACTGCATGATCTAAACAGTATCCTTTATTTGCACGGGTTTCACGGGGGGAAAGATCATCTAATTGCTAAAACGTGCTTCACCCCTTGACAGGTCAAGAGAAGCCAGATTGTAATACTGCGGATTTCCATGGCTGTATGCCGATAGGCAGATGTTCTGAGGACGCAGTTGCATATAATATGACCTGTGGTAAGCTCTTTAAACATTCAACTCATTCGGTCAAGTAAAGGGGCACACGATACAAATAACTACTATTATTCGCTGACTTGACAGGAAATACTGTTCTCATCTCATCTCAACAACGATGAGGCTTTACAGGCCTGCAGTGCAATACGGCACACGTGTATCAATATCTATACTGATGACGATGCCTCAAGCTTTCACCAAACTGAATTACATACAATCCCAATTCTGCTCTCTGCCACTCAAAACAAAATCGGTTACATCTGAGTAATTGCATCTCCTTGTAGGCGCTACGTCGGTGTGCTGTGATTTTCGAAGCAACAAAAAAGACCCATGCCGCAATGTTTTCGGTGGAGAGTGTCTTGACGTAACTTCCTCGAAGTTACCGAATTGTCTAGAACCGAATGCCGCTATGGACACTTGCGGCGAGGGAAAGCACTGTTGCGTCAATTTAGCGAAATTCTAACGTCGTTCGTATTCATAGCTGCTTTAATCGCCGGACGAGCTCAACATCAACTGAATAAAGCCTTCCCCCTAACAACTGATGCCTTCGATCTAATCCGATATAAAGTGGTAGGCCTCTTTAGATAGACATGGACATTTTTGAGCTTAATATTTATTTACCTGTATGGCATAGCAAATTTGCGGAAGTTTGCATAGAAAACTATTGTTTCTAGCTTGATAAATTACTTCATCTAGAAATAAAATAACACTGGATCTGTCATCACATGAGCATTATCATCTATGTTCAGTTATATATATATTTTCCACGTTCGAGTTTCGATGACATATTCGTGCTTTGCTCTCGTAACGGGTCTGTTCTGTTGTTGATCATCTCGAGCTTGCTTTCCTATCCTCTCGAATAGTACTCAGCTAATATCAAAGCTGCGCAATGCGTTGTTGTATAAATTAGAGTTTCTTTTGGTATTTTCCACGTCATAGAGTAATACTAAACAGCAATGAGGCCAATTTACGATGTATGTACGAGCAAATAACGTATACTCTCTGTTGGTGTATTGTTACTTGTACAAAACTGCGACTAAAAAAATTACCCTCATAATAAACTTGCTGTACGGGACGACAAAGGCTTTATTTCTTAATAAATTTACCAAGATCCTGTTCCTCAAGTTTGGCGGTAAAAAGGCCTTTCGCTCGAATGCCTCTTTCTCAGGGCTCGCTCCGTTCCTACGTTGCTTCCGGGACCGTGCAGGGGTATTCGAGGAGGAGTGGCAAGATGGCGCCTCACATGTTCCGTGTTAAGCTATTTATCTTACAAACAGACCTCTATGACAGTTGCTGCTGGCACAGAAGTCGGCATAAAGGACTGCGGGCCAAGAAAACATACCCCCAGGTGCAGCTTCGATGTCATGATAAAAAAAAATTGAAAAACATCGCAGTGTGAGCCAGGCTAATTGTACAATAAAGCAGTAGAACACGGATCTAGTGAAAACTGTGTAGAAAATGTACTTGTATGACAGCATCTAAATAGTCGAAGAATAAATGAAGATGACGGGGCCCAGCTGGTAATCGGACATTCGTAATATCTGTCAGGTGCCAAACCATTCTTTTCCAGCAGTAAAGAAGCTCGCAAACGGTTTGCGACGTGAGTATACCCATAAGTTTTCGCACGTAGTAACAGTACACACTCCTTTATCTATAATGTTTGTTAATCGGCAACAACAAATATAGCGCTACTTTCAGATCGTATGGAGATATAGTTGTTAAGTGACAGCACGAAGATCCAGCCGAAAGAGCCATACAGCAGCATATGGAGAAAATCTAACGATTTTAACAATACAAGGCTTCATCACCCTTTGTTTAGAACATGGCTGTCGATGGTATTTGCTGGACAACGAAATGTCACAAATCTATTATTTACTGTCTGCCGTTTCGAGCCATAGTATCAAAACTGAAACCGCCTAAATCGGAGCCCCATAGACGATAATGGGTAACCAGCGTTTAGAAGCAAACCGTTTCCAGGTGCATGAACAACAAGTCGTAGAGAAAACACAATAAATATATTGATCCAACCTTAGATCATCTACAACTTATCACGAAATGCAAATCTAAATAATTCATTATTCTAGTGTGACAAAGACGCATTTGCCTTGAGACCGCCGTAGCAAGTAGGTATGAGACGAGACGATAACTCTAGGCTCTCAATAAAAAAGTTTCTGTTAAAGATGTCCATCTGATCCTAGAGCTAGCTCTTTGGTAATCCAGCTCGGCTGGTCTATCCCGAAGCTGTTACTGAATAGCAATTGATGCGGTTGAATACTTCTAATTTCTATATATTACGACTGAAAAACGTCACGAGGCAATTGTTTATGATAGATTAACCGAATTGTAGATTTGTATATATATAGGCGAATAGAAAACGCTTACTCGTTCTGAGAAGTAAAGAAAATCTAACTGGCCAAGTACAGAATATGATGATTCCGGCGCGGCGCACTTACTCTGCCTAATCATTGAAACCACTGTTTGCTATTAATGAACGTCAGCTGCCGTTGTTGAAATAATCAAAAAAAGAACAGCCGCTAGTATTTTATTTAATGGGCATATTGGCTCGTTGGGCAGGTAATATGTTCACATCCATCGATTGTATAGCCAATCTTCTAGAAGCTTAATAGCGTCTTCGAACGACGCTATGTAATCCCGGTATGTGTGCAAATGATAGATGACAAATCTGTTGTTGTTCTCTGGGCGTATTTAGGGATAGAAACAATAACTTCGTAGGCGTGCGCACCTCAAACGTGTCTTTAAGCACGTCTATGATTCGGCCTGCATTTCGATGTTACCGTGGCTTAACAGGAAACGATTCACCGTGGAGACGTCAGTGATGCGTTGGCTTCTCGTAGTGCTAGCAATGGTGGTCACTGGACACGGGAACGCCGCTCATCATGGCCATGCGCACCATCGAGCCATACATCGCCGCGCTCGTGAGCCTAAAGAACTACATTTAGCTGCCGTATTCCCGATGCAAGGTTAGATTCCAGTTCGGCCGCATGAATCGCTCGACGGATACTCTGCAGCTTCTATCTGCACATTAGCGATTTCCGCGTTGATAAATAACAAAGTCTGGATTAAGGCGTAATTTTCAGTCAAATAATACGATTCGGAATGAAACTAGTTGTTACTGAGGTAGGGTTTTTCTAGCATATCGTCTCATGCATTTTCCTGGGATGGGAGGTAACTGTTCCTCTACTTTACAGATCGCAGCTTATAGTTTTCGTTTTATGTATTTCGATGGCACACTTATTTCTACGGGCAACTCTTATGTGTAGGTCACGGCGGCTGGCTTGGTGGGCAAGGCTGTTTGCCGGCTGCTTTGATGGCGCTTGAAGACGTTAACAACCGTACAGACCTTCTGCCTGGCTACAGACTACGACTTCATTGGCGAGACAGTCAGGTGAGAGTGAATATGTGTTATCATTGAAGGTTTCTAATAACGTAACTATCTGGTTGAAATATGACTAATGGCCGTCTTGCATTTCACAGAGAAAAGCGATACTTTTGTCGAATTTTAGTATTTTTAAAAATGATTTTATGTATTTGACGTAACTCTCGACGATTTTCTCTCCTCTGTCAATCGACTTGTTTACCCCTACTCGGTACAAGTTTAGATTTCTGGTGTTGAAGACCCCTAACGTCCTGTTTTCGGGTTCTTCTTCTTCTTGCTAAATCTATTGCTGGGAAATTCACTTGCCACTGATTGGAGAAATGCCGAACCATGAATGTGAAACTTGAAGAATACAATAGCTATTAAAAACCTTCTAGTCCAGTTCTTGCGGGCAGCTCTAATGATATTCATCGCATGCGATCTAACATAGCTGGGGGGAAAGGATAACTTTGCAATATCTGTCGGTCTTTCCTAATGGATAGCCTCAATCAATCGACACAGCTGGGTTAATGTAGAAGCATGTTAATCTTCTCCTCCTTTTCAAGCATCTGTCAGTGTAAGAGACTCCTCCAGACCCACCACACACAAGTCATAGTCTTTTTGGGGCAAAGATCTGACTTAGAACTGGGCTTAGGCGCATCTCACGAAATTATCCGTTCGTTTTTTGCTTCATATCGACATGGAGACACCATTTCTCGTCACCCGTAACCATTCTCCGTATTATTTGATTATGCATTGGTGGACGCCGGATGAGATGTTGTGAGGGTCCGTGCTTTCTTGTGCACTCCACCCAGTATATGGTACACCTAGCTGCCAATTTCTGATAGAATTCCATACAATTAAGATGCCTGCTAATAATCGAGTGTTCGCAGCTTATTTTCTTGATCAGTTTATTTGAGGTCCTGATCTACCTTGGATGGCCGATCGGGGCGGGAAAGGTCTAGGGTTCTACTTTTTAACGTATTAATTCCTTCTTAGCTCTCAGGTTCGCGCTGATCCGAAATCGCTGCGACAGCTCTTCACCTCGGCAAAACACAAAATAGAACAGATATTGGGAATACACGTTTTTTGCACTTGAAGCCGCCACCTTTCGAGTCTGGACTCGATCTGAAATCCTGTTTACTGCGCACTAGAATTCCGACGAACGTAAAAGAATCAGAATGCACCTTGGAAGGTTTTCTGGCCTTTTACGCTAAACAAACAGCAGGGAGAAAACACATTAAAAACAAACATTTATTATTAGTGTCCCAAGTAGATCGATGTTAAAATTTTATCCTTACATTAGGCCAGCCATTCATACCATAACACCAAATATAGGAATAATCTATATCGTGTCGTGTGGCTGTTAGATTTGTAATAGGTAGCTAAAATGATGACTGCAAAAATGAAAATGGAGTTCTAACAGTGACGCAGGCGTAGATTTATTTCATTACTATAATGTAGGTGCATGCCGGTTTGACCTTAGATACGGGTAAATTCAAGAAAGTAGCTGTCCGACGAAAGATATCCGAAGAGATCGTATATATCTCTCCGACGTACAGTACCGAAAATCAGAAAAACACATACGGAGATTGTGTAGTTACGAGACGAGGCGAACGCACTTCGCGGTTTCCGCCATAGTGTCTGAATAGGCTCGGAGGTCAAAGGTTGCGGGCCACTGCAGTTTAGAGGTCGTCAAAAATAGACTGACGTTAGTCACAAGGGTTTTTTTTAGTTGTCTAAAATATATCACACGCTTCATTTATAAACGTGTAGTCGTTTTCTATTCCGATTGGTAGTGTAATCCGGGCAAAGCCGCAAGTGAGATGTATGATCTTATCTATGACTTCCCAACGAAACTAATGATGCTCGGCGGGTGTTCAATCGTCTCGTCTACAATTGGGGAAGCTGCGAAAATGTGGAATCTCATTGTTGTAAGTATTATTAGTATGCAAATACATATATATGCACACGTACACGGATGGAATTGAAACTAGTACGAGCAAACTTTTCATTTAGAAAATCACTTGATTTTTATTATATGAATTAAGCAAGAATTAAGTTTTAGCTGAGCTCGATTATTCGGGTTCTTTGAAATTAATTCCGAATTGGCTATCGTTGGTCCAAGATTGTAAAAATATGTAAAGCCCTTTGCCCTCACTGGGCCTTGTTTGTGTTACCGAAGTTCATTAGTTGAGTTGGCGAATCCTTCTTATTTACTCTCTAACAAGACTTTCATCACGAATGCTTTCGTGACTGTTGCGAACTACTGTGAAAACACTTGAACCGCGTCGAGGGCTCTACTTTGACTGCCTACGGAGCAACAAGCTAACTTAAACTAAACCAACCATTTTTTGCAGGTGTCGTATGGTTCTTCTAGCCCGGCGTTGTCTAATCGAAAGCGGTTCCCCACGTTTTTTCGAACACACCCTTCGGCGACGATCCATAACCCCACGCGAATTAAACTCTTCAACATGTTCGAGTGGAGTCGCATAGCAATTATTCAGGAAGCTGAGGAAGTCTTCACTTCGGTATGTTTCCCATTGGCGGCAGCTTGGACGGCTAGGCCTCCGACTGAACGATATGTTGAATGAGGGAGGGCATTGCTTTTAGCCTCGCCAAGTATGCCTACTGCAGAGCTTTTCAGAATGAAAGAAATTACCATGTGTACCATTTTCGCACGAGCAGAAGAGAAAGCGAGTCGCGAGACTTTTCAAATTTTTAGCTAGAATAAAGGATCGTTGCTACGGGAATCGATTAGCACTGCGACTTCCAATCGACCAAATGGTATATCAGTGTTCCTAGCAGCGTGCAGCGTGCAGTCTAGTGATTGGTTTTCATTTCATCTACGTATTAAAATACTCACAGTCACTTCTTACTTCTAATTACGACTCTGTAATATGTTATGTGTATTACGATGGCATGTCGACATAGAAGAAAAATGTGCCAAATTTTGAGTTCCATGAGAAAACCATTCTTGCATTTTGACTTTGTTTTTTAGACGGGCGTTGACCTGGAAGCCCGATGCAAAGAAGCAAATATCGAGGTGGTGTCTCGAGTGAACTTCATTACAGACCCAACCGACGCCGTTAAAACACTCAAGGTATTACTAGAGAAGCTCTGTGCAAAAGAACGTTGAACGTTGAACTGTTTATTATATATCAGCCATCAATCGATAGTAAAGTGTGCTCGATAACTCTCATCGAGTAATAAACAAGTAATAGATTAATATTTGCTTTTCGTTTCAATGTGTACGGAAAAAAGGTCATACAAGCACGCATCAATCGTATATAGTGCGTATTAATGGTAGGAATAAGTGAGTAAAGCTCTTATTTGGTGTCGATAGATTAGCGCACAACTAAAGTGATACGTGGGTCTAAAATTTTCACGTTTAGCGTCAAGACGCACGCATCATCGTGGGTATGTTCTATGTAGCGGCTGCACGACGGGTCTTCTGCGAAGCGTTCCGCCAGAAAATTTTCGGGAAACAATACGTTTGGTTGCTGATCGGTTGGTACGAGGACGATTGGTATACCATCCAGGATAAAGTAAGTTCATCTTTTACGAAAGAACAAACCATAATATAAGAAGTGTGCAGAAAAATCTGTTGTTTATTTAAGGAATAACAGTTGGCCGTGTTATATGATACAGCAGGAACGTAACTAAGTTTCTCCTTTAGGTTTTTCCGAAATTTGAGACAAAATGGGGCAAAAATATCGAAGATATAAACAGAAGATTTTCGTTGAAACTTGCCAGAAAATAGTTTTACCATAACAACCAAATGCAGAAGTACTGGCGCCGACTAAGCAGGTCTTCACTACATAGAGCTTCAACCAGTATTCAATGGTAACACAAATTATTTCTCGTTCCATTTTGTACGTCGTGCAAACACGATACGTCACGTTCGAGCCATAGGCACGATCTAATCTAGTATACGTTTACAATGAACATTGGTAGTTGATACAGCTAAGACACTTTGTGCGATCCTGATTTCTTAATCGGGAAGTAACACTCATGGCAGTTCCTCATCTTTCAGTTGAACGAAGGAATCAATATGTAGCGTTTATTCTCGACCTTCGGTCATTTTAGGGTCACAACTGTACGACGGAGGAGTTGAAGCAAGCGCTGGAAGGGCACATTACGACCGAGGCGTTGATGCTCTACAAAGAGGAAAACAAAACGATCTCAGGAATGGTACAACCTATGCATATATACTTCCTAACTTAGATGGATAGAAGCGTTTATGTCTGAGACATTGATAGAAAGAAGGCATCTGTCAAAAAAAATTTCAGTGAGGACCAAATACAGAGTAATCAGTAGCCTTTAAAGTCGTGCTTCTGATAGATTCGATGCAGTAGCGCTTTATTAAGTGGTAACGAAATAAGTCTTTGCTGCAACCTACGTCCCTACTACCTATTTTTAAGGAAGTTCTTAATGCACAAAGACGTGCACTTTGTTTCATGGACAAAGGGCCCTCGACTTCAATTATATATATATATATTTCTTTATAATATAACAAGTGAACAAGGACATACGAAGAATAGTTTGGGCCTATATACGACCTACATGATATCTATCATGTTAGTGTGACTGAGAATTCCAACGAGGATTATATGCAAAAGTTCATTGTTTTTCAAACTATTTTTTGAGTTATAAGAATATACTTCTACTTGAAAACAAAAAAAAAACAAGAAAAACTTAACTATTTTTGCATCTCTCCGATTGAGAGATCAAATATTGATTTTTGAAAACGTATTGGAAATTGATTAAATTAATTTAGCAAAAGTTGCAAGATAGATTAAATGCGACGGCAAAACCTAAAAGCGTAAAAACAAGCTTATTTGGGTCGTCACCGGGTGAAGGATGATACTGTACGTTAACGAATCGATCTTAGTAAGCGGGGGGTAAGTAAAAGTAAATTGAAATTGAAGTGAGGTAACATAATTACTGAAGCACGTCGGTGGCAAAGCGATATAAGAGAGACTGAGCAACCGAATAAATTGTCCGTGCGTACCCGACCTTTGTATGGTCTATGGCTCAATGGGGTATCAACGGTTCGATCGAATTAAGTTAACGGCACTTAGTCGATCATTCTAGTGACTTTTAATAATCTACTACTTGAATTGCTCGGACAATTTTGTTTTTACAAATTGTGTTCTTAGTGTTTGTGTTTTTATCATGTATGTATTTATTTTATAGTATTCGATATGTTTCATAATATAATTCAGTCGCGTCTATGAGCTTTGGGCGTATTATTTACGCAACGATTTGGTACGAACGTGATATGTGGAATTATGCTGTAAATACTTGTTATAAAAAAAAAAAAGGAAAAAGCAATTAGTAATTACATGTGGACACTTTTATTACAGACATCTAAAACTTTCATGGACCGTTATATTCAAACACTGGAAAAGGATAACAACACAAACGGCAGACGTCCTGAAGGATTCCAGGTAAACGTTCGATTTTATCCGCTTAAAAGTTTCATAGACAATCAAAAGGCTGAATGATGAGTAACTTTAGCTGAGGTGTTGGCTCATTTGTGATTTTCCTTTTACAGTACTTGACTAAGTAGAGAAACATGGAAAATCCATTAACAAGAAATAATTTTACTTTGTGGCCTATTAGCGTTTTTTAAAGGCCTGCAGAGACACTTAATTTCCTTAGTTTCCTAGAGCTTCCAGAACCTTTTTCAATGCGATCTATTGACTTCAGTATCGCAGGCCAAAGACGTTAGTAATCGGAGGCACATCGTTTGAAGAACAACTGCCATACCTACTATAATACACATATGGTATCACGAACATGATTCACAACTGTAAATTTCCCCTAATTACCTTTTAGCGTGTGAACTGTATCACGGTAAGGAGCACGCAGTTAAGATACGCCGTAAATTTTTAACTGACGTACACGCGTCAATATGTTTACGTTCCAGGAAGCGCCGCTTGCGTATGACGCCATTTGGGCGGTAGCCCTAGCTTTGAACAAGACTATTGCTCGGCTTCGTCAGCGAGGAGAGCTCATTGAGAACTTCACCTATACAAACAAAAGGATCATGAGCGAACTGTGGAAGGCGATGAATGCCACGCAGTTTCTTGGAGTCTCTGTAGGTTTGACACTGATAACTAGGCGACATTAGCATTACTTGCTTCCATAAGCGTTTGCATTTTACATGGCCTATCGGCATAGTAGATTGATATTTTAGTAATATTATTGTAGCACAGCTATATTTTATCAAAATCTTTTACTTGTCCATAACTCGCCAAAAAACTAAAAGTACCTATTACTCGTTCAAAATGTAGCAATTAACTGTCATTTTTTTATCGATCAAGCTCAGCAGTAGTCCTGAAGGGACAACCTAAACATTTGAAATTTCGCCTAACATAATAATAAGTGTATTTATTTAAACAAAAAAAAAGACCTTTGAAACTCCTCAAGTAGATAAATCCTCAATTACATCATTCGTATATAAAGATTGTTGCCGTCATTGATTATGCCTCAAAATTCAGAATAGCGTTTTATTTAACTCAAAACCAATACTGACCGCGTGGAGTCGAAGATATAAGCCGGGATCGTAACAGCCGTGCGTTTCTTCTGCTTTACAGGGCTACGTAAGCTTCTCGGCCAAGGGAGATCGTATGGCTCAGACGCAAATCGAACAAATGATAAGTAAGCAATAACAACAGTTAAAAACATATATAAAAGAAGAAAAAAGAAAAGAAAGCTATAAAAAATAGCTTTCTTAGCCCACGGAAACTCTGAGTTGTTTTGTCGTTCGAATGCAGAAGGTTTAATGCGTTATTTGAGACATTCTTCCATTGAGCAGTATTATCCCATAGCCCTGCTGGAACAATCCGGCCCTATTGTGCCAGCAATAACGTCGCCTTGCTTCAATCATCTAATAATCTGGTTTAGATATGTTACTGCATTGCCCTTGAGGCCCCGCAGCAATCTGCTATACTAATTACCCCGTGTTTCTATCGAAACGCAGCTGTCATTTGTCTCGGTACTCCGTTGCGACTATTCCGCTACCCTACAGTTGCACCTGTCAATATTCCATGCAGATTTCAGGCCGCTTAGAAAACCGACCAAATAGACAAACTTGAAGAAATTCTAATTTTTCGAAATTCTCAGTTGCTTTCCTTAAAAACATACCAGATTCGACGATACTGCAATCATTCATCTGTTTTTAATTTTATTGTAAGAAACATGAAACTTCTACTCAGATATCGTCCGAGTGGGTTAACTCATAAACAGTTCACATTGGAGACTGCCTGGACGTTCTTCATAGTCTTTTAAATAGAACCTATATAACATTACGTCACGATTAAGCTTACGCACAGAAAAAGAAGAACCAAATTGTTTTGCCAGTTTTGAGATGGGTACCACTTACATATATAAACACGTAGATACATAACAGGATAGTCGCTCAAAATAGGACAGACGCCGAAGTACTTTTAACAGAGGCTAATTACCTATGATGACCACTATTTTAGACTGGTATTGCGATTTTCTTTGTTTTATAGATGGAACATACTACAAGATCGGCTATTATGATTATCCAACCGACGACTATCAAAAAACCAATTTCGAACCACAATGGATCGACGGAAAACCCCCACAGGACAGAACCATCATCAAGGTTTGATAAAAAAAAACAATAGCCGCACATTTTGATGCCTTCAAGGGAAAAATGTTCCTATTGTGAAACTTTGAAATCAATTAGCAGTCTCGTATGTTCGATTGTGCTTCTAATTGAAAAAAAAACGTATCCTTATATTTGTCTACGGTGACCTCGTTTAAGGATTTTACGAAGTCACTCGATTTATATTGGGTTCAGCAAAGGCCCAACTGTGAAACCTAGAGCAAGAAATTGACACAAACAAAGATTATAATTTATACTTTGGATGAGCTCTAAGAAGAAAGTCAAGATAGTTACGAATTGAGAATCAGAAGAAAAGTCGATCCACCTCAACGCGTATATGAACTAACTACGACTCCTGCTAGCCCTACTTAGACCTAGCACTAATGACGTCAATGAATGCCAAGAATACACGGAGTAGCATCGAACCTCTACGCTATTTCCTCTCTGCTTCTTGCAGACGACCCTACGTACAGTTTCATTAGGTTTATACGCGGGTATGACAAGTGTTGCCCTACTCGGTATACTGTGGGCCGTAGGACTGCTTATCTTCAATTGGGTCTTTAGACACTCAAGGTACGTTTAAGCAGACTTTTAGAAAAAATTTAAGAACAATTTATGTATGTATATATAAATGCCTGAAGACATGAATGAGCAATGCTCAACCACGGAGCATACTGCTAAGCGTTACGTTCAGAAAAACTTAACTTTAACTCTAGCTTTTTGAAATTACTTATTTTCCAAAGCTGATGAAGTAAACAGAATGTTTTAAGAGCGAATTGGATAAAGTGTTCTTCACTTTGTTTAGACCTACTTCCTGTTTCAAGCCACGACAGGTTGACAATTTAAATGAACGGAATTTAGGCTATCGTAACAGGCCAGATGTGATTCGGTTCTAGTCAATCACAGAAACTGAACCTAACACGTCGCACTACATTATCTCGCTTATATCTGTGAATTGCAGATACATAGCGTGGTCGCATCCCTCGTGCAATAATATTCTGCTGTTCGGCGTCATCGTGTGTCTATTTTCAGTCGCCCTATTGGGTTCGTTTAATATATGAATTTTATAATGTGATAACAATGCCGCAACGCCCGCGCCACTGATCAAGGCCACGGAACCTTTAGGAGAAAAAATGATTGTTACGCGAATACCATTGACTCTGTGTTTACAACGAATATTTATTCCATTGACATAAATCCAAGCCCCATCAAAAACGTACACCACGCTGCATGTGTAGTTGTACATAGACAGTTTCACTTTATTGATAGTGATGCAATGGAAGTAGTTTTGACCCTACCGCCTTTTCTCGGCTCCAATAAGTTTAGCGTGTCGCGTGTAGTTTTAATTGATACCGTGTGTATACATCAATTTACCTCTCCAGTAGAATGAGCTGGTCTGATGCGCTTATCATTTCTAATGTTTATCACATAGGCGTTGCATACATACGACAGGGCTAAGAACGTCCAAGAACAAAGATAGAAGTTTTGCCTAATGCTTGCTCTACTCTGATACGCTTTATATAGGGTTGGATGGCCAGTTCGTGGACGCCACGGTCTATTGGCACATCTGCCAGGCACGTGCGTGGTTACTGGCGAACGGGTTCAGTCTTGCTTTTGGTTCGATGTTTTCGAAAATCTGGAGAGTTCACCGACTGGCCACTAAGGCCAAAACCGAATCAAAAGCGGAGGTGTGTCTCACATCTGTGAAACTATGATGATTAAGTAGTTTTAAATCAGGCGTACGTATTTATCAGGTCAGCGGTAGGTTAACATTAAATCCTTCAGAACTATTTTTCGAGCAGTCTTTACGATAAACATACATTTTGGATCGCCTATATTCCATAAATAAAAATTGCATTAATAATATCGTCATCTGAGTCACTGAACGGGTCCACTTAATTCACTTAATATTTACGTTGTTTGATATTCATTTTCTTATAGATACAGAAAATTAAGTCATGGAAGTTATACTCTGTTGTGGGCATCTTGTTGGCTATTGACGCGATCATTCTCATCTCATGGAGCGTCATCGATCCTATGCAGGTGCGTGACGCTTCTCGCTACAAATATATCGGTCAGACGTTTTCTATATCGTATAAACGGCCCTTTAACGCATCCTAAGAGTTTACTTGTACACCTGTTTCTGGCGTGGACAGCGTAAGATACAGGTATTCCCTCATGAAGATCCACCGGGTGACGTTGATGAAGACGTAAAGATCCAGCCTGAACTAGAACTGTGTGTCTCCGAGCATCACAATATCTGGCTTGGTGTCATGTATTCTTACAAGGTATTTAATCTATGCATTTTTTCTAGATAGACATCGAATAGGATCAGCCTACAAAGCCTTACGACGAATATCAAGCGAAGCCGAGCTTCTTTAGGAAGCTCGTAATGTTGCGCTTAGCATCCGTCCAAAAGGTTTAATATTCGATGAGAGGTAAAAGCATAATTCCCTGAAAGGGCCTAATATGTGAGTTATTCAATGATAGTGGCAAAATATTGTAGAACGTTCATACGGAGCATGGCTATAAACGTCAATGTCACCCACTTTGATAGATGAAATAAAACAAAAAGAGGGCATTTGTAGCCCCTTGAGTTTGGCTACCTATAAATAGCATTGTTTACGCTAACGGTGTGCGTACTAAACTGTTTGGTAAAGGGTCTCGTGTTGCTGTTTGGGATCTTCTTGGCTTACGAAACACGGTCAGTAAAGATTAAAGTGTTGAACGATAGTCGTCTGGTTGGGATGTCGATTTACAATGTTGTCATCCTCTGCCTCATCACTACGCCAGTGACGCTCGTAAGTGCCTTTTTCTAAAAAAAAAAACACTTTAACAATTTTTATAATAATACTTACGTATCAGCTATTGAAATGTATTTTTACAATATCCTCAGGTGATCGGCTCACAACAGGATGCTTGCTTTGCTTTCGTGGCGTTAGCAATCATCTTCTGTTCATACATCTCCATGACACTCGTCTTTATACCAAAGGTAGATTTCCGTGCTATTCCAGTGAAGGTACAATAACTAGCTCTAGGGACATAACCGTAATGGATGCGATTAAAGGGACCGTACATTACTGTCATCTGCGTCATAAAAACATGCGTTCTTTTAGTCTTCGGATCTTTTTGTGTTTTCCATTAACGAAAATTTAGTTCATCTTTGTACGGTACCACGATGTATATATATATATATGAGTGATAACAGTTAGGCTTGATCGAAAAGCTTAACAGCAGGGTGTAGGAGTTGAATTTAGGTTTGCCTATAAGAAAGCAATTATTGCTATTGTAATAAGGAAATTATCAGAAGGAAGATAAGGTTTCGGCTTGAACGGCCAAGCCTCAGGTTAAAGCAGATCACGGTTCGCTGCCTCTAGCCCCACCAACGGCACATAGATATCCTACGCAACACCGATTCGTTCAAGCAAATAAAGTAAATACTTCAATGAACTGTCTTTAACAGCATTGATCTACCCGAATCTATTTCTTTTCTAAGCGTTCTGTAAGCTTTGCTGGAATCTTTGTAGATAGTGACACCATTACACCATAGCCGTCACTATCTCACTCGATAACACAGCCAACTAACTGTTCTGATTTTACCTTTGCACCGAATGCGACGTATATTTATTTTCCCGTGGGAAATGCTTAGATTACTGAGCTGGTTCGTCGGCCTCGAGAGCGGCAAGACTGCCGAAGTCTTATAGATAACGCGTCCTCACGGGAAGAAGAAGAACGGCTCCGAAGACTTCAGATAGAGAACGAAGCTCTCAAGAAACAAATTCAGGAGGTAGGGCAAATTTTTCCAAAAATCGATCATTATTACTGCAACTATAATTGTAGATTTCTCTAAGTTATCAAGAATGCTAGTTTGTCGGGAGCTATTTGGCCGGTCAAAAACCTTAAATTACTCCCAGACGAAATTTTATGGATATTTAACTTAAGCTTTTGGCTAAACACTACTTTTTGCTGACTGAGCGTCATCAGAGCCTCGGTAATTACGTTTCTGTTTTGCGAAAATGAGCGTACTAGTGAAACAGACCGAAGATTGATGAAACTACTGAGCAAAAACTAACTTCGATAAGGTAAACACTTCATTACTGCTCGAAATTGAAAAATCAATGTTTAATGAGGAGGTAAGTACACCTCACGTTCCAAACGGAAGGAGGAATTACTGTCGCGGAATCGCGGAAGTCCCATGTTTATGGCAATCATGTACTCGAAGAGGCTTTCTTGCTGGTAATAATTGCAAAAATCATGTTTAAAATATATTGCACGTGTTGCCCTTTGTTCGGAACTCAGTTCGTGAAAAACCCATTTCTTTGCTTCTTTCCTTCATCGTTAACGTTACCACTCTAAATGATTTTCTTTGCTTGAAAGTTTCTGTAATCTGAGCAATCAGTCCTCCTTCTGTGTCAGGTTCCTAGAAAAAGTCAATTTCCGTTTGAGTAAATGAAGTTTTACTGAACGTTCCCTTACACGCTGCTTTTACTAATCTTCGATAGAGCCCGACAGCATTTCCACATTCAGGAAACAATATTTCTAACTGTTAACCCCCTACGTTTAGCATCCCAGCTTGATGTAAACAATGTGCACTACAGACGATAGTCTAATTGCTTGTCTCTCATGTAACTAATATACAAAATCAACACAGAGACCGGAAAAGTAATCCAAAATGGAAAAATTATATGTAAAGTCTCAATTAGTATTAGATGTGAAAATACGCAGACGCTGGAACAGCGAACCATACAAAGATAAGGTAGAAATGAATTTGTCGCAGACACCAGCCAACTTGCTTGTTCTTCTTTTCCTTGACAATTTATTCAAATATTTACGTCAAAACCCATATAGACCGTACTGCTACTATTATTATTCACTAGTATAAAATTGTCATTCCTTTCGGATAGTCTTCCGAAAAAGTTCGCAGCACACAACCACGAATACAAAGGTATATTGTTGTGTCTGGTCGCAGTCCAATTGATTTTGATATTCTTGTAATTACATCACAATGATAACGGCAACCCTCACGATGGTGAAATGAGCTAGGTTCGTGAGGCCATCAGAGGCACGAAGCGTGCTCTCCTGCTCGCGAATCATCCGGACTTCGAGAAAGTGACAACAGTAACCAGCTCCTTCACCTCTATTAGCAATAACGTGCCCGTCACCATTATAGCATATATGTTTAAATCTACACCACTTAGCTTTGTACTAACGATCCTTGCACGTTTACTTGTTCTGCCCGAAATGACAAATACCCAATTGGCAAACATCAGGAAAATGCATCCGGTTCTCGGCTTTTGACACTCAGAGTTTGCCGGCCCTCCCACAAACTTCAGTGGTAAAGATTTTAACTATACTTATTTGCTCTGATATAGAAATAAGTGGCGTCGTAACCATAGCACTTGTACATCATTCAGCCTAATAGCAAGACGTTTTCGGTTCAGCGATAGGCGATCGTCTGTAAGAAGTCCTGCGTACTGCGCTGTCTCAAATATTAGGTTGGCATCAATGTCGCCGTGAGGATAATGAAGCACCACTATCCACAATTCTGATCCTGCTCTCGACCAGGTTCAATAACTAGCGTTTTTAAGAGAACCTATTCTCAACAAAGTATTTAATCTAATGAAGATCACGTTTTTGTGCGACTTGGAGCGCCGGAGCGCGATTAAGATTCAAAGCGTTATTACTGTTCGCCGAACTAGTTTTCTTATAGAGTGACCCGCACTACGTCATTTAAGTTAAAAGGTCACCTCTTCCAGATAATTTAGAGTAACTTGTATTGCTGGTTGTTTGTATCGTGGCATAAAATACACAAATGAATATTTTCCTTTTTTCCCAACGACAAATGTTAGTGACGAAAATGGCCCTATTAGCTAAGATTGAAAACGTGGTAATTTTTCATTGTATGTTGATACTAAGAAATGAGCACCAAAATGAGCGTAGCCTCAACTAATTGTAGCTACTGTATCTTTTTCCAATTAAGCTAAATAATGGTTTGGCTATATTAAGTTCAATAAAGTAAAAAAGAGAATCTGACTAGTTCAGATTACTTTCGAGACAAAATTTTTTTATACACCTAAAGATTAAGCTTTCAACTAGTGGTTAGCTTTTACCTCCTACTTCCGTATTCTATAATCACTACATATTTGAACCGCGCGGTATTATTACAAGAAGTCTACGGAATAACCTTGCCCACTTTAGTCTCCTGCTGAAATCTTACAGAGTGTTACAGAGAATTACAGAGTGTTATAGATGGTGATTGTCAGCCATACTTATGTCCTTCATCAGTTATTGGCTATTCAACAATTCTCTATTTTTATGTCTCTATAAAAATGGAATATTTCGGTTGGTTTCAAAAAAAGGTTTTCAAACGACGAACCTAAATGGACATATACCCATGTTCTGCATCCTTAGAAAGTGTTGGTCACGATGGCGACAGTAAAACGAGACTCTGTTTCGTTATTGTGACCACACTCTCCGTGAAAGCACTTCTTTATTTTTAATTTAAATACAAGTCGCAGTAAACGACACAAAACAATTTGCGCTTTGACATGATAACGAGTTAAACAAATGAAAAACAACAACGTACATCACCGTTTTTCCTAATATCATTTGTAAAATTAATTTACCTAATTTTTACAGAAAGAAGATCAAATTGAAGCGATTAAGAAGAAGTTAGCCGATCGCGCCAAAACTGCTAGCCAGGTGAACGTCCGGCTTCTCATATGAACCAAACGTTTAATTTATAATCATTCACTGCGTTGTGAACACAATTTTAATTAACACGGATAACAGCCAATCGAACAAAAATTGATAGCATTTTCCCTATCGGATAAAGTAACCAGGTTCCATATATTTTATGTGTACTAAATAGGATTCGTATGTTATACGAGTATGTTTTGCGTTATTTATTGACAGCTCATTTTAATGATCTATATGAGACGAGTATTCAATGACTTAGTTTCTGAGTGAAGTGTAGTTGCCCTCCAGTATTCACGACGTGATCTTAATGATAATGTCTTTTCATAATCAACTGAGTCAAAAAATGCAGGCTACCACGAGACGGAATATATCAGAGTATTTGATGAGGTGATTATTTTAACAAATCCTCAATTCGTTTGCAGGTTCATCCTGCTCCGACGAAGGAGCCCGTAAGGACCACTGCAGGTATGCCACTCAGGGTCCTATCGGCAGCGACGACCAATGCAGGTGATCGGAGTATAGATAGGTAGTGAACATGATCCGTAGATGTATACTTTTTTTCTTATATTAACATTTTTTGCTAAGGTATATTGTTATGTTCAAAAAGGTTCTGGAGGCAACCTCTCGCCAGCCGTAACATCGCCTCAGATCACCCGCCCTGCTACAGGCAATACTGCTCAGGGACAGCAACGAGCTTTGGTAACTGGTGGCGGAAGCACCGGCCTGCATGCCATGCAGTGCACAACAGTCGGAGCAAGAATGTCTCCACCTGCTTTGCCAATTCCTAATCCGCCTTCGGATTCAGGTTTCGCTACGGGTGGACCCATGTCGGCTGCGACGCTGTGTGGCAGTAAGCGCGGATCTCGGGCATCACACTCGGATTTCGACTTTTCCGAATCGTACCTTTGAGGGGGGGTGGTCGGGCGTGAGCCCGCTAAAATCGATTAACCCTAAATTACTCCTCAGTGACACAACAGCTGGCACAATAGTAATCATAGTAATAATTATTACATTGTATAGTTAGCCGTTTCCCAAGTCAATGCTGACGACCTGAAACGATCTTCACTGCAGCAGACATGCCAACTTCGCAGTAGATCCACAACAATAATGCCACTATGATATGTAACCCGTACGCGCCACTGTCTTCTCATCATGTGGCATCGGGCCAGCAAGAAGATTACATGCCTCATAACAAACCAACCGTTGATAGCCGCTGATTTAACTCGAACTGTAAAGCCAACGTTAATGCAATTTTGCATAAAATGATATAGGGCTTTAATTAGGAAGGTGGATGACCCATCCGTGCAAAGGTTCTAGTGAATGCCACAATTTTTCCAAATAATAGGCGAATATTACACGTAGTAGTTGCCAGACATATCATTGGTCCCATTTATGCGTTTGAACAATAACAGTCTTCACGATAGATTTTATAGAAGCTTCGTGATGTACTTCTACACTACTGAACATAATAGAAATGCTACCCTCCACACAAAAGCTTGTAGAGTCAGCTAAACGAAATTTCGCGTTCAGCCAAAGATTTCGGATTAGCACAGAAAGCCTCGACAATTTATAAAAACAATAACGAAAACGGTCGTTGTCTATAATATTGTACGTATATCAATGTGAATGTTCAGGTGATGATAGTATGAGCGGCAATCATCATACAGACATACAGTTACATTAGAAAAAAAAAGACATCTTTTACTGAGTGAGCATGAGTATCATTATACGATCAACTGTGTCACAACAATAATCCGTGAGCGTGGCAGAGTGATACCGGCAAATAGGCGTAAATTCGTTCGCCTAGAATACCGCACCAAATGACAGGGAGCGAGCACATATATTAACGGGTCAAATGTTAATTAAACTGCATATAATAATAATTTTACGACCTACGGCATAATGCCGTTTAAAGAAAGCCCTCTTCTTTTACATTTCACGCCTCGCAGGGCAGTTTCAATTGACTCAAGCTGTATTATAAACTGAAACATCACCAACATTGTCGTATAAATTATACCTGATTCTTTTTGTCATTGTAAGTAACATAATCTGCGTATGATATTTTTTTTATATTACTTCATATTACTTTTTTTCATATTATTTCAGTTATCATAAAGAAATACAGAAAAACGATGTTCTGCAAAGCTGTAAATAATGATGATAGTTTTCGTTTATTCTTGTAGTTGAATTTCTTTTCCTATAATTGTCATCTTGAACTATATAACGAAAGCATCGCCTTGTTTTTTCATTGTGTGCCATCCGATAAACTTCTGGTGCACTAACGCTCAAAACTACTTAATTACAGCCATTACTATATTTAACGAGCACTCATCTAAACGCTCTTCAAACGGCATATATATATATATACAGTGAATGAAGTCTGCGAACAAACGTACGCGACGAGCAGACGAAGCTTGTTTATTTAATTTGTGATTATGTCTTCGATGAAATCATGACAGAGGATACTTATTAACGAACACACATCAACCTAAATCATACGAACATTCTGTACATATACTTAGCTAACTGTTTAACTACATTGTGTCACCTGCAGTGAGGCATGCAGCTTGTATATAATAATAAACTGAATCTGCTTTAGGTCAGCTGATGTAACTTTGACATACTTATTATTTAGGATTCAGTAACTAAATTTACTCGAAATTCGTGCAGGTCAAGTGACACTGGCTTACGTAGTTCCGGATTATAACAGAACATACAATTAGAGTATCAAGCAAAGAAAAAATATGCCGTAAGTGGTACAGTTGACAATTCATATATAGAAATAAGAAGGAACTTGCCCGAAATAGAAGTGTGCATATAGCTCTTTCTTGCACTACAGGTGCTTAGTCTTATGTGTGTACAATGGATTCACATCAATATCACTTTAGCCTATTTGTTTGCAATAGCATGAACATTTCGAGAAAAAAAATTGATGTTTATTAGATTTAAGGAATCCAATTGGATATATTATAATTTTATAAACAGCTATGCTAAGCTAATTGTTGATACATAAAAGCACACACACATAAACACCCTAAAAATGCATCATTCAGACAAACGGTGTTGGCAAACGGTGCTATAAGAAATAAAACAACCCATAACACGCATGCGTTGTCAATGAAAACATTGCTCTCCGACTGCCATAAGCGAATAACTCGTTTAAGGAACTTTATCTAGAAAGGTATCTCGTATACATTGCCCAATATCTGTTTCTCATATCCTTACGCTTCCGTTATCGATGCAGTTTCTACAACGACGTCACAAAGAACGTTGTCGTTTAGGAAAAATCTAGACCAGTACGCTACAGCATGACAAAGAACTATCGAATGTATTTTACTGGTCAATTGTAAACCTCACAGAGTCATTTAGACTGTGCTTCATTTTGGAGCGAAACGGGCGAAAGTTACAAATGAACAAAGAGAAAATTACATATTAAAAATAATACATAAATATAGAACGATAACAAAATGCTAACATTTAATTTGCTTTCGTTGGTGTTATTGCAATGTATCGAATACATTGTCTAGATTGAATTTAAGATAAAAATTAAAATTGACAAAATTATAAGAAAAAAAGCACGGAACACTTTTCAGATAGACAAACCAAGACATTTATGTAGCTCCTTCTCACTTCTCTTTAAATGCATTTCCCGTTTCATCTAGTACACACGGAACGGGCTTCGTTTTTGATCGCTGTTCCCAAAACAGGCTTATAGAATAACAGTAGAATGAAATTATTTTTATGCATATACTCTTCATAGCCTTCATATCTTCTACAACTCTCTTTCAAGTTCAGATAGACAGAAACAAAATTACATTCTGTCTTAAGGTTTTCACTTTAGAAATTTGCGATACAAACGATCGCTTATATAAAAGCAACCAGAAAACGGAATCAGCAATACGTTTTAGTAGCACGCGCAACCGTCACAGATTATGCCACATGGAAACTCAGTCAGGTTAACATTATCTTGAATATTTGGAACAGTGCTTAGCGTCAATACGATCGTACCATCTGATAAAATGAAAATAAAGCTATTCGAAAAATTATCTTTCAATAACATTATTTTCAAAATTTTTGTAAACTAACTACCACAATCATAGCCTGATTGTGGTATTATTGGGAACTAATAAAATGTATAATTGCCTGAAAACTATCAGTTAGGCTTTGTTTCAAGTGACAACATTGAGTGAACTACCTGAAAAAATTACCTTCGTTTAGCAGTCTTAATTTTTAAGCATTTACTATGTCATTACTTATGAGAGAGAGAGAGAGAGAGAGAGAGAGGGTATTTATTAGTTTATGAGAGTCTCTATAAACTTCAATATATATTTTCCTTCAACAAGTGTTATCTAATTTTGTTCTATAACGGTGTCATTATATTGTTTTTTTACCACTGAACTTTTTGAACATATGTACAAGGTGATCTAAAAGCCTGTGGACAGTTGGGGGTCTTTATTTGTGATATGTTGAAGTAGCATAAGGTACGCAAATTATTGCGAGAAAAAAACAGATTTAATAAATAATAGGAAATACCATCCTTACTGTTCTTATAATACTTGTTTAGGATGCCATAGCATTAGTATTTCTCTTAAATGCAATAGATACAACAACGACCACTGAGCTCATTTAGTAACTTTGTTGATTACCTGGACTATGTCAATGCCCTGTAGTATGATTATAAATCGTATTAGGGTCCTCCTGTGCACAGTTAAATCTCGTTCCTTCAACTGCAAAACAAAGACTCTCCAACTGTCTAGAGACTTTTGGATAACCCTTTATGCACCCTGTAAAAGCAGTCAGTTGAAGATAATAAGTCAGGTTCTTGATGGGGTGTGACAACCGAACCCTCAATACACACTCGGTCGAGCAGATTTGAATTCGTAAGCTGAAATCGTTATGCTTAGTGATTTCAATTCACCGGCCATTTCGCGAAGGTCATCGCGGTCGCTCGAATATTAGCCCGCTGCGAGGATTCATCCTCTCCACTCCCCTCAGACCGCCAACATTGTGCCAATGTAAATAAACATCCATCCATCCATCCATTCATGCACTGTGGTGCCAGATTGTGTTTTGATGTTGACGGTGGTGTGATCGTTCCATCTAATGGTACGGGAGTCAAGTGGTGACAAAGTGTTAGTGTGTGTGCACTCTCAGAATTGGACTGTAAACAAAAAACGAACCTTCGGCCTATAAAATTGTAGACCTGAAAGTGTATGTATTCGTCATATCACACAGTAGATATTTCGACAGCTGGGTGAAGATGATTAATGGCTATATTGTAGGGACATCAAAATATTACGACTGTAATGCTATCCATATGACAGCCATAAACCAGCTGTATGGACTACACCTTACCTACTTTGGAACAGCTGATTGCTGCTAAATAGTAACAATTAGTTTAGGTGTAGTTTAGGCTCAATGATTAGCAAATTTGAATATATCCCCTAATCAATACATTTATTGTGATGTTATCTATATACAGAGTCGATCGTGTTTCATGCCAGGGGTGACAGCTCTAATTGGCAAAGCATATAGCCAATATCAATGAGACCATCGTCAACTGCTGGGTTGCCTGCAGCTTATATTTGTCAGTAAGCTAACATTTTCGAAGTTAGTTACTAGCTTTGATATTGCCTCCCTCTACCTCATTGGTTTAGTGGAGCAGTTTGAGGGATTCTATAGAGATTCTGTAGATTCGAGGGTGAAGTGGGTTCTAAAAAGCTGATGCGTCAGCTTGACAAACTGCGTGACCGCCACTGCCGTCTGCTATCTGCTAAATCATTTTTTTGGGTACAATTAAACGAATACATTAATGAAATCCAAACAAATTAATTTTACAATTAGTTACTCCCGCCAAGCCTATCATTATTATCACGTCCACTTTGTGCAATACAATACGCTTACTGTTAGAATAGATTTTACAGGGCCTGTGCGACGGCATCACGGACAACAACGGTGATACTAAAAGCAAGAACAACCGCTATACCGGAGCTGTTAAAGGCTGGGCAAAAAAATCGTTGGTCAGGTCGCTGTCGCTTCGCTTGGCCGTTGTCGGCCGAGCGCGACAACGTAGGGATTCTTCGGGATCATCCGAACTCAGTGGAACGGACATGAGCGATAGCGGCAAGAATATCCCTGCGCCGCATTCGGGTGCGCCTGCTGTGACTGACATGAAAGGTTGGTTAGCTAAATGGACGAACTACCTCAAAGGTTATCAGAAACGGTGGTTCGTGCTACACGATGGACTACTTTCCTATTACAGGTGAGGACTGAAGCTTTTACTGGTTTTAGTCAGCGACTAATGGCGAGTTAATGATGACATAATAGGTGCAGTACTCTGTAATCTTCAACTGTCAATCATCCTGCGTAGGTTGTTCATGCTTCAAATTTAATTGGATCGTTTTATCTAGGAACCAAGCAGAGATGTCGCATACATGCCGAGGTACAATCTCCCTCGACTCTGCAGTTATCCACACTGAAGATTCCTGCAATTTTGTCATTTCAAATGGGGGAGCACAGACATTTCACTTAAAGGTGAGTTTTCGGTACTTCCCGTTGATTGTAACCAAAAGCACTACCTGCTGGGCGAGTTGCTTTAAAGGCAGTGCTCATTGCAGGCTGGCAACGAAGTAGAACGACAAAAATGGGTAACGGCATTAGAGTTGGCCAAAAGTCATTCAATTCGGCGCCAGGAAGCTGAAGAGGATGAAGAGCGAGGACTTGGTTTGGACCAGGTGTCACCAAAAGCAGCTCAGGATGAACAGGAGCGGCTTTTACGCACCCTCGCTGCTAAACGAGACGATCTACGGACGTGTAATGACCTCGTCGCCAAACATAGCTACGCCTTAATGAGGTAGAATGGAATTTCTTAAAGTCATAACCAATTTGCTTTAGAAGAATGTGTCGAGTACTAATTATAGTTATTATTCAGTGGTTTTAAGAATCACCGACGCTAGTAGTAAAAAAGCAAGTTTTCACTTCCAAATATTTACGTGTATACTGTTGCACACCTTTCCCTCATAAAGACAAAGTAAGAAATAAGAAGAGTAATTGAGTTTTTGATTAGACATTTTTCTAATCAGGCTTTAGATTGAAAGAGCCGCGAATCAACTAGCACACTCTTTTATCTATTGCATTTTAGGTGTTTGGGAGACCTCGAACAAACTGAAAGTTCTGACGGGGATGTTGCGGCTCGCAAAATAATGAAGCAGGTGCTGTATGAAGATTATATTTAACCAATTCCGATTAATATACAGTGCAATTTTCTCTATTCGATAGGTTCTAATATACTAAGAGCAGCATGCCACAAGGTTGTTTCCGCCTGAAAAGTTTTTCTGGTCATCTACCTTTGCAAAAAATGTTTACCTTGTCAAGTATGGGGCTATTTCTGGAGCCGTTATAGATATACCACTTTGTGGATTGTTTCGCTTTATACTATAAAGTAGTTACTTAGCAAGTTGTTTTCCTGTAATTTCCTCTAAACTATGTATAACTCCTTCTGTTGCGGCAAATATGCAATACCTTGCAGTGCAACATTTTTTCGGTGGCGTGCGCGACATCTCTTCCGTTTTACACGTTCTAGAAAGCGGTCCTGCACACTTCGTAATAGGTTTATACCTGTGAACAATAGAGACATATTACTCAAACGTTTATGCTTTTGTATAATGAGGTATTATTTAGTTGCGGGATTGTGACACCATCCTTACAGAATCAATCATGTGAAATTTAAACGTACAATTAACATTCAGTATATTATCACCCGCATCTTCATATGATGATATGCAGGGAAACAGTTCGTTGTCGAGTGACTATAGGGTATCATCAAGACTGATCTCAATTATGGTGCGTATCGGTATTAACAGTATCATTCTGTTTTGTCATGTCATAGGCAAAAGATATAGCCGGGTTTTAAATTAAGCTGTTTTATGTAGTTAGACACCAGTTCCTAGAATCAATGCTTAGGAGGAACCTGTTTGCTTGTTGGACGCATCGAAAAATCAGGGTGGGCGTTGACGAGAACGTTGCCGGTGTTCCTGGCTAGTGCCCATATCTGTCCGATTCTTAGTAGTTTTGTGCATGTTGATCTACTTCTATTAAGGCCATGTTGCTCTGACCCAGCAGACTTACCGAAGGACGAGTCCCAAGAAATTGATTAGAGATAATTGGTGGCAAGTGGTCACACTCATTCAAACATTAACTTAGCTAACAACAAACCAAGAGGTTTCACTTGGAGCGCTCGTAAGAACCTATACAGCCGTTACTTCATGCGATAGAAAAGAAAGTGAGGAAGACGGAGGCTTTCTCTACGTTATCGACTTTCAGAAAACTATTGTAATAAAGACGAGAAATGCTCTCATTCGGATTCAGTCAGTTATTGACGTAATGAAAGGTGTTCTTTGCGTTTTCGATGTCGGGTCTGACCTCAGTGAGATAATGGGAACAGGTTGTGGCACGCTTCAGCTCTTAAAGATGTTGGAGTAAAAGGGATCGAGACGATTAACGGTCATAAAGAAAGAAGCGTTCCTGTGTGTACTATTTTATAAGAATTTGCGAGAGGCTGACACAGTTTCGAAACTGCTTTCTTATTTAGCTATCGGCTAGATCACTAATTAGTATTAATGGGTTGAACAGTTAATTGAACTAACCTATACGTATGTTAGTTTGTGCTAGATAGTACGAAATTGACTTTTGCGGAAGCCGATATGTGATAATATTGGGATTTTCCAGTTTATTTTCGAGAGGTTTATAGAGCCACACAGACCGTAAGGCGTACGTGTTTCGAAGAGTTCATTTAGAGACTTACATAATTGTTATATGCGACAGGTCAGATCAGCGGTAAGTTCGTGCGGAGAGCAGTAAGCGCATATCAAGCTGATCTGAAGAGTTGTGCCAAGGAAAAGTCGACAGCAGCAGCTTCGATAGCTGTATTATCGACACGAATTTCACAAGAACTTATGTGATTTCGGACTAAAGTGCATACACCATCTATTTCTTTGCGAAACCTGTCGTGGCGAAATATATTATAAATGCCACCGAATGAAAATTCGGCTGACGGTAGCGTACCCTGTTTTTACTTAAGTAAGTCAACTCACCTGTATAAAAGGTATATATAAAAGAATATAAAGATCCTACTTCAAGTAGCGGATTACCCTCTTTATAAACAAATTTTCCATTCGCTCTCTACACGCGACCTTCTTCGATCAAACAATCCCTTGCCGATTTTTAGACCAATGCCTTAAAGTGAAGCATGTACATATTTGTTACCTTTGTCTGTTCTGTATTGTCGTATGGAGAGGCTAAATATAAAAGCGTCCGTGCGGAGATTTGTAACGCATCATCAAGCCACCAACTCACGCGCGCCGGAAATGTCTAAGTAAATTCATAGCGAATTTTTTGATAATTGTCAACATGTGCCATGATAGTCTTGACCGACTACGTTTCCCATCAAAAATGTTTCAGACTTGAGCTGCTTTTGTATCACTAGATACAAATATTCGACAGGCTATATTTATGGTAGCAACGTTTCGTCAGCATTGTGTTCGAAATATTTATAATTGAAAATGATCTGGTTAATCAGTTAACCCTGTTTTGACTTTGGTAAGTGTTAGGTATAATGGTCATCCGCATTATCAAAAATTTGGTATGAATTATTTGCCACAGACTTGCAGGCCTCTTGAATACTCTGCAGTTAGGTTTATTTGAAACGATGTTTATCAATCAATTTTTTCACAGACACTGTCAGGTAAACGGCTCCATAGGAAGGATACGAAACTAAGGATCGTTCTGAACAAGCATAGGGACCAGGAATCTAGTTTCGGTAACGGGTTGAGTAGCACCTACATATGAACTACTTTTCTCTGCGGAAGCTGCCATTGTCTATAACATCGAGACATTTCGATTTCAGGTAAATGAACGAGCAACGCTTTTCCGAATTACAAGTACTAATATTGTCAAGGTGAGTTCTACTGCTCGTTCGTTTTAACAGGGAGTGTTTTCGTCGAAGGTTTTAGCTGCCGCACTACAGTTCCGTCTATTAAAATGCACTTATGTTACAAAAGCAAGTAACAATATGTGTCGTACAAAAGCTCAAATTTATATATATTTCACTGACGCGACTTTCTCACTAATCTTGCGCATCGGTTATTCTGTCTTATACTGTCTATGCATCCAAAAATTGTAAATAAGGTAACAGCAATCAATATCTTCTAGATTCAACTGAGACTACATTCTAACAACGCTTGGTTTTTTTTTTATCAAAAGACAAGTGTAGAATTTGTCGAAGTCGCCCAGAGCCTATATCATCAGTGGAGTCGATTATTAGAACATGAACATTCGCAACGGCTCAAACTTGAAGAACAACTGGAGCAGCTGGCTAGACAGCACTCACATCTAGAAAGAGCTGCGAAGGAAGCGGCGTCTAGTGGCGGGTGGAATAATTATACAACCGGTTCAGAAGGGGACGAGGAAGAATTTTTTGATGCGGCAGAAGAAAACGACAATGGTCCGCATGACTTTGTTCTTTCACTGCCAAATCCACCCTTGCAGCAGGTCATCCCGGGGCATGCGGTCCGACACAGTAAAGCGCCACGCCATTCTGGGAGTACCACTAGCGAAGGTCAGTAGGTGAAGTAATCAATTTCTGGATACACGAATTGTCTATTTTTTAAAATTATTGTTGTTAATGACATGTAACTTTTTTACAATAATATATACATATTTGTTATCATCAGGTAACGAATTAAGCGGAGGTAGTAGCGATGACGAATCCGATGAGTCCCCACAGTTTGCTGAGGCAAGCGTTGTGCGAAGAAAGCGAAGCAGTACAGAACCACAAACGGCAGAGCAGGGAGGCATTATTATGGATCATACTGCTGGTGAAATCATTTCCACCAGCGTCCACAGGCGAAGCCGTGTACCTGAGAAGCCAAACTGTTCTATCTCTTTGTGGTTAGTTGCTTTATCATTTCGTTGGTTATTATGTCGACCTATGCAGAGCAGGGTCTTTGAAGTCGTAATAACATTGTAACGTATATATTACCACAGGTCTATTATGAAGAATTGCATAGGTAAGGAGTTAACGAAAATCCCGATGCCGGTACACTTCAACGAGCCGCTATCAACTCTTCAACGTTTGGCAGAGGACTATGAGTACTCAGCATTACTCGATAAGTAAGGCGTCTCTCTTTCTTTATATATAAATATATATATACATATTAAATTTTCGTCGAAAACGATGCTTTATGTGGGAGCCATACATCTTGTATCTAGTTATGGCGATCTGAACGACTCAGTGCCATCCATACTTGGTTTAACATAACTTCAAATTCGTAAAAATGTACGTTCATTTTCGATAATTTATTTCTCAAGTTGCGAGGCGTTCGTTAACCGCAGGAGTAGGCGGTAAGCCCAAACGTGCTTTTAAGCCTTATTCGTGTTATATTTCGTGGGCATTAAACGTTTGCTTTGTTTTTTACGATTATCTTGTTAAGTGTTCCCTTTATTGATTTTACAATATTGCAGGGCGGCTCGTTGCTCAGATCCCCATCAACAACTCGTTTACATTGCCTGTTTCGCGATTTCATCGTATTCTACCACAGCTAACCGAACCGGCAAACCATTTAACCCGCTACTCGGTAGGTTCCTCTGCTTCTAAATGATTGTCTAAATATTGTTTTTTTGCGTTTATCAAGGCCTTTTCACAAAGGCTATATACGGCAGTCGTAGCACAAGGCCTTGCTTAACATGATTAGGTTTTACAGTCAAGAGATCCTTGAGTGTCAACGGCAGTCGTAGCACAAGGCCTTGCTTAACATGATTAGGTTTTACAGTCAAGAGATCCTTGAGTGTCAACGGCAGTCGTAGCACAAGGCCTTGCTTAACATGATTAGGTTTTACAGTCAAGAGATCCTTGAGTGTCAACGGCAGTAAGCAGCAGATCGTTCCATTAACGATCTCGAGGTGTTTATCCGATACGAATATGGTTCCTTCCCTGTAACAATGGTACTATCGATATGGTGCTACCTTGTAGTTGAATTGAACGACACTGCTAAGGCTCTTGTTAAAAACTTATTTAATACACTGATATAAATTTGTCCACCGAATATATATCAGGAAATGTTAAAGACATCTGCACAGAACTTCGCAAAAAGGTGAGCCATATGAATAAAACGAGTGATAGAAGCAATCTACCACTCGTTTCCCTGAACTAGGATTTAGACTTGTGAGGCAAAACCTAATCAAGAAACAGTGACCCAGTTAGTTCAGTCTATATGCTACAAGTAATCATCTACCTCAAGATGGTCGTTATGGTGCTACAAGACCACAATAAACAGACCATTCTCTGGAGTGCACATTAAACTACTTTCATCTTTTTAAGATACCGAATGTCTAAGGGAACTATATACCCATGTACCCATATAAAAGAAAGTGATTTACAATATTACGTTACCAATTACAACGTTGGCGAAAGCTTCATACTATTATTCGTCCATAAGATCACCCTAACGATTTGGCCCTATTTGAGCAAAAATTTATTTGGGCTTGACGTCGGGTAGGTAAGCTTAAATAATAATAATAATACTTGTGAAAGTTGTAAAATTTCACTGCAAGTCTATTTAAATATCAGCCATATATAATTTAGTGTTTAGTTTAAGGAAATCATTTGTTATATGTACAGCATTGTCACGGAGGCGTATTATATGCCTGATGTCAGTGAAATTCATGTGGTACAATTTGAGGGTGCGTAACACACGCAGTGGTGATTTTTTTTGCGTACAAGAACTCCGTGGCGTTAGTGTCCTCTTAAGTAACCGATTTTCGTGTCCGATCTAATCTAGTACATAATGTTCTTCCAATCGCACATAAATTTTAAGCGTATTTGTAGATGATGGTAGAAGTGATGGGTACGGTCGAGGTCTGGCAAGCGGCAATAAACGTATAATAGAACAGCTGTGTACTACCAGTGACGCTCTCCCGATGACTTTGTCGCTGTCTACCTTTCACACGTAAGTTGATTTTTTTTCTTCCAAGTCAGCTTATTCGCGTCGGCAAATCCAATTAGTTAAAAAGCAACATCGTTCCATTTATCAAGGGTTACGAATAAACAGAATCATCAGAAGTTTTTTCCCAAATATAAAGTTTCCTATGCTAAGAGTTAGTTCTTAATAACATTAGTGGCATAATATTTACCAAATATGAAGCCCGTCGTGAAGATTACTATTGCAGCAGGAAACGTCCTATAGCGCCTCACGTCCATGTCCCGTAATTACTATGCTAAAATTACGCCTAGGTCACGTCAGGCCTTCTCTTCGAGGTTCTCTATCGTTGATTGGCGAAGAAGAATCGAAACATCGACTAGTAGAACCAAGCAACTTTCAAGGAGCAGCAATAAAACATTGAACTGTTACCCAACGAGTACGAGACACTCGCCAGAAACATTGGCCGACCACATCGTTACTGCAGCTAAACGAACCCATACGCTGAGCTGCCCTTGCACCACCCGGACATGCCGAGCAAACCACACAAAGTCTCTGAAACAGCAAACTCCTGTGACGCAGTACTGTTATCAAGTACTGGAATGGAGAGCCGTAACAGAATTCAGAATGCGAACCAAAATTGCGCCCTAAATATTATATTGGCCGGCAGGCGCTCTCACGTACACATATCGAGAAGGGCCAGGCCACGGAAAGGAGGTCGAAACGCTAAAATCTGTAGTGTGCTGTTCAAAGTCGGCACAGCGTTATATAACTGGAACTGTTACCGTTTCGCCAGTTGCTACCTAAGCCAAAAGTCTAGTCGATCTGGTCATTAGTTAGAATAGTAACTTGCATCATGTTTAAGAAATAATCTGTGAAACATAAGCGCGAGACAATGGCGATTCATAATTCTATCAAATGTACTGCGAATAAAAAATTCGCATAAAAATAAGCCCAATTGCACGTGATACTGGCAAAATAATTGGGATAGCATAATGCTCAATGCAAATGGTCCTTCCTTCTTTCTTTCTGCTTGTGCGTGCTACCTACAGCTAACCAGTCCACTCTGAGAAAGTGAGCTGGTTAAATTTCACAAATTACAATATTTTATAGCAGTTTACTCATTGGATAAAAAAATATACCAGGGTCCATGCTCTAAGGCTCGAGTACTTGAGTTGTGTAGCACTCGTTAATCTGTGCAGCGAGGAGACGAAGATCTACCATATGTGTACCATGCATATGTAATCAATTTGCACACGCTCTACGACAATATTTGCTATGTTTGTGCATACCAATGGAAGTCAGCGGAAGGATTTTCTATTTTTATTGAACGTCTGACGCTTACATACTGAAGAGTGCACAGTTTCGAGTGAGGGCGTTGTGCTGCTAATGTAACAAAAACAAGATGACCACGTGCCACACCCACCGATCACTGCTGTACAGGATAATTGCAAAAACACAGACGATTGCAAAACGCTAAGTATCACGATGCCTATAGGGAGCGACTTTAAGCATAACAATAAAAATCAATACAACTTAATGGCAGCCACGTCAAGCTGCAATATCTGAGTTTTGGGACAATGAATGTGACAAAAGATGTCCCGACTTGGCCAAAAAATTACGACGGAGGAACGAGGTACGTAAGGTTTTGATCATCATACCATTAGAAAAAGATGGTAATTTTGTACTGCGTTTTATTACATAGAACAGCTTTAATCGCGGTAACCAGCGGATACGGTACGTTGATAGGCGCCTCATTGACGTAATCACGTGCTTTGAAATTCAGCAATCTCTGGATACTATGGGTTTGGAACGCCTTTCTCATAATAACACTCCCTGTTTTTATTTTTATTTGCGTACTCCAATATAATAATCGTGCCAATAACAGCGTCCGCTGACTCAATTGTATATTGAGCCGATATAACGAAACGGAGTACATAAGGAGAAATTACTAAAATACAGGATACTATTACGTGAGCGTAATGTGGTCAAAGGTAAAAAATAATTTCTAAAAACAAATCCGGGATTATATATATATATATATATATATTCATTCTGCGTTATTTTCGTTAATTAGCGAAACATCTTTTATTTATAATTGATCGAATCCATGTTGCAGGTGATGCTTCTAGATGCGCTGAACATCTGGAGTGCGGTGCTGGCTCCCCAACAAGCTCTGCTGTCCTCATTGCAGTTTCTTATTGAGCAGCTGCTCAATAAGATACCTGCAATGATACCATGAGATACCATCACTCCACTGAGATGAAGTACGTGCGCGGTTTTGCCCTTAACGTTGCTTATACAAATTGCAGTTGTGTTGTATTGTGCGAATTCTAATTATCCATGATGTTTAAATACTGTAGGAATGAATGGTGCTCCTGATCGACGATTTCAACGAATTGTTACAGTGTACCACTGTCCAAACGTCTAGTAGACCTTTAATACCTAGAAATATCTAATTCTGCAACTTGGTGCAGGTTACGGAACCCAGTCTATAGTGGATGGAGCCGATGGTGCCCGACGGGTCAAGGTATTTAGGTACTGCGGCTAAGTGGCATCTTTGGAACGCTTGGGATTTCTGTGTGCTTAGCTGTCTGCGACGATGCGGTCCTTTTCGAACTGAATTCAAAAGTCAACTCGACAAATCTAATTAGGAAAACAGACAACGATGGACGAACGGGAAACTGAATGCAAATTACCAATAATAAACAGACATCGCTTTGCCTTTATTACCTATACGCATACGAAGGTGGCGCCTGTAACTGACCTATAGAGGAAAATGTTTGGCCTGTAGAAGTACTAGAGCAGAACATCTGTCTCACGCTCAGCGTGACTCTTACGGAGAGAGAATTTCGAGAGACTAAGGCAATACGAACATGATCCTTTTTTTTTTTTTTTTTTTATACTACATATAGAAGAATACTAGAAGTTTTACACTACATAATTCTTGCGGTGTGGAATTATCTATCGAAACATCTCACAAATATAAGCATAACAAAGATGCCAATTAAAAGATCACTAATGTTGTAAAACGGAGGAAGATCTAAACGGCAAGTTTATTGGGTTATTAGATTTTTTCTAAAGTTTTATATGAGTTTTATTATGTAACACAAGTTATGTAACACAGAACTTTGTCAATTCATAGAAAATTTAACAAGTCACGGAAAATGACAGGCCACCCAACAATAGACGAAGCCGGTGAGTAATAGAAGGTATACAAAAGCCAATGCCGAACGAATAAAGTTTCCCACGCAGAATTTCACAAATAGACTATTTAGTTTTTTAAATAACTTTGCGAGTTCCGTGCAAAATCCTATAAGATGCTGCCGGACAATTTTGAAGCCAGTGGGGTGTTGTGCATTGTAATTCGTGCTCAGTTTTGTAACACTATGGATCCATCCGAGATAAGCCTTGTCAGACTTCATGTATAATTTCATGTGCTTGCTCTATTATGAGTATCGTTTCTATTGTATCAATAAGACAAACATCTAATCCCCACAAATAAACAATGCCGACAGATCCACTAAAAGCAAAAATCGTTTGTTTATAAGGAAACGATTTGTGTCATTTGCAAATTTTTACCACCCCAAATCCAAGAATGTATCGTTAATTGCATGGCATTGCATTTTCGAAGACATGCAAGCTCCAGTAACATAGCTCCCAAGGCTCCTCAAAATCAAATCTGTGATTTGACCAGCAAAATCATATGCTAAAGTTACCGTAGCCTTCCGAACATGAAGTACAAGTTCTGCTGGGTCGCAGGTGTTCCCAGAAGATTTATACCCAACGATCAGCTGGAGCGACTCCATGAGAGAACCCTTATTAGCATCGTACTCTCGTTCTCATGCCTAAGGACTACTAGCTTTGTCCAACTTCTTCTTCATTTGCAGGCGCTTTAAATATACGAGTGTTTTCCTCATCCGATTCGATACAAGGACGTTACAAAGCCTTGTCTGAAATCAGGTACTTCATCTGTCGATGACATAACATTCCACTAACGGCTATTAATTCATCATAACGGGAAAGACATCAATTTCTAGTCCAGAGTACAGGGTAAATTTTTATTTTGTACAAAATGGTGTAGCAATATGATGTCTAATAGCAGTAAATGTGCATGTAGTAAGGCTATCGACCTCTTTTCTTCACTATATAACGTGATTTGTGTAGATTGGCTGACGATTCCCCAGGTGGTTGAATTTGATTTGCTTCTGTATACCCGAACGACATTTTGTTCGAAAACAAGACAACATAGAGTTCATTGGATAATGGAGAATCTCCAGCGGCGGCGCGTTTCCCCGTATGGGTATAACAGTGACGACCAAGTGTAAAACCAGAGACATTCCGGAATATATAAAGACGATCAAGAATCAATGAAGAATCGCGGCGGTAAAGGCCTCTACTTAGGAGAAGCTCCTAATCGACCACAACGACATCAACAAAAGCAAAATCAACAAACAGGACAATGTACGTCGTGCAGAGGAGTTAAATGGTAGTTCCAGGTGTACGTCTACGGGCTGCATGCACCTGCCTAAGAATATTTATCAGTAACTATTTGTTATACTCACATGCATATTAACGTCTCGCGTTGTCATATCTACGATTTTCTACAGTTACGTTTTTCAGTTTAACTGATATATGTTATATAACGATATTCAAATATCGAACTGAAACATTGGATATTAACAACTTGCCAAATTAGGATATTGACTAGAAAAATAATTGCTATCCACACTGTCGTCCACACTGGTACTATAGTATAGTAGTAGTATAGATAGTATATATATAGTAGTATATATATATATATATATATATATATATATAGTAGTATAGATAAGCTTAGTGTTTCAATCATACGTTCCACTTACGTCCAACCGTAGTAAGGTGCGCAAGAAATGATATAACGAAATTAATAGGCAACTTCAATGAAGTATAGCTTTGGAATTTTGCATACATAACGGTAGCTTATATAATCACTTTAAACCGTAAAAGTTTTGTACCAGCAGGGTCACCAGGTAAGCGATAAGGTAACCAAGATATTAATCGTCCATTAAATGCAGTTATGCTATTTCCAATAGGACACCATATATTTCTGCATTTCTGAATGATGGTAAATTAATTAAATATTTTGGAACAATATAAAATAATTGCACTTTTTGAAGATCAAAAGGTTTAGCGCCACTATTATTTAAAACTACATTCAAATCAATAGGTACATTAGGTCCAAATGTTCTGAAACAACTCCGTACACTCCGAGGTGCGTTTGAGACAACCTTATCTGAAGTTTCCACTTGATGATGTGTCTCAGGCAGTAATCTTATTTTATAACGAAAAACTTTAAAATTGCTTGCTTAATTTTTCTCGAATATTTTGAAGTAATGACGTGAACTCCTATTTTAGGATCTAATGTTGTCATAGTTCCTGAAGACGGTGGCTGTACGGAACCGTCGTACTGTTTAAGAACTCTTGTAACGAGAATTCTACTAAGTCTGTTAAACCGAAGAAGATCTTTATTTTATAATGGCTCCGATAATGTTTCGAACGCCGATTAATAGTTTGAGTAATTGTGTGGCGAGGTGCCATGTAATAGCTTGATGAACAGCCGTTGATGCGAACGGCGGATTCGCGTAGATAAAATTTCTAAAAAATCCGGCTCCACCTCCTGAACCAGCAACTGCTGCCACAACAGGCCCGCCTTTCATTTGAAAGCCACTTGGTTTCCTGATATAACATCTCAAATTCCAACAATATACACGCCTTGCCTCCTTTACTTCCCTGGAAAGCGTTGATGCTACTGTAATCGAACTAGCCTCAAATGATGCTGGGTAAACATCTTAGCTTCCTACGTAACTTTTTTATCTCACGATCACCACTCAAGTACCACTTGACAAAAGAAGCAACATACACGTAAGGGGCCACGCGACACACCCGGCCATACCAACCAAAGATGCAAAGAGGTGATAAGGAGGCTTTTATAATAGAGTCTGTGGAAGCAAGAAGGTTTAAACATGGAAAGCAAGAAAGTTGCTTCGGGCAATACTAGGCTTCGGCAACATGAGGAGTACGAGAGTAGCATGGACGTTAAATAACTACACGGAGAGAGATCTCAAGGTGCTACGTAGGAATGCTTCTAAATGAAGATATTTAGTGTGGGCTTTGAGGCAGCTCCAACCACTGGTACTCCTCATCTACAAGGATACGGAGCAGCTAAATACGCTAAAGCCCATAGAAGCCCATAAAAAAACAATTGTCTGATCGTGTACATATTGAATTTGCAAAAGCCAGTGAAAATAAAAACATTCAATATTGTACGAAATCAAATAATTCCGAAGAATTCGGTTAACGTTCAAATCAAGGAGCTCGCAATAATTTACACAATACGGTGGATACTCTATTGGTACCTCACGAAGACCCCATAGAAAACGTTGCTGCAAGCCTTCATCAAATTCGGCAAAGGAATTAGAGATCTGGCTAATCAACTTAGTTCTCCAAAACTTAAAATCAAATTTAAAATCGCACCAAAGAGAAAACATAGAACAAAACTCGTCGTGGTATGGGGCTATCCAGGTACTGGCAAATCACTTGGTGTACGTAAATGTGCCGAAGAGCTTGTTGGAGAGCAAGAAGTATACGATAAAAATAGAGGCGAATGATGGGAGGGCTATTCAAATAACAAAGCCGTTACTATTGGTGACTTCTATGTGTGGATCAGATATGATGAATTACTTATCATCGCTGATCAATATCCATACAAAGTCCCTATCAAGCAATCATTGACCAATTTCGGTGCTCACTGGATGTTCATTACAAACAATATACACCCCGAAATCTGCTACTATTTCAAAGGATTCAGTTAGCTGGCCCTTTGGCGACAAATCGATATTCTCATTCATCTCTCTAACCCAAAACAACCACTCCTTGTAAAATCATATCAACATTTTGAATACTACTGTTGATGACAAAAAATAGTGTTGCAAGCCTCGACTTTTTCAGCTTATCTTTTTTTTCTCAATTTAGGCGATTCCGCATATCATAGCGTGATTCGTTAACTCTATACTAATTAACTCGATACTTCAGCTTCTTCGCCATCGCGGCGGAAATGACTATTCCAGCGATGCTGGAGAAAGCTTTTTGGCCTTCTTGCCATTTGAGGCTGGCGTCCCTCTGCAAATATTCACCTCTGTGACTGTACTTTGAGTGATCAAGCTTCTGCGTTTGCGATTTCATATTTTCGGTATACCAATCCTATTTCTGTTTCTACATCTGTAGTGATCTAACACTTGGTAAATTTAACTTAAAGATCACGTTTACTGTTGTTTTGTCATTGCCACTGTCATTGCATGTTTCCCTACACATATTATGCTTTCGCATAAAGAAATTGCGTTTTAATGGAACGTAAGTAAGATTAGCCCTCATATGTATCCATATGTTCATTATATACTATAAGGGTGATCAGTTCCTACTCTTGTTCTTTTTTTCGAGGCATCACAATAGAAGCCTGCCCTGTGTGAGTTGTTGGCCTGATCTTTCTCGAAAAACTCCTCACGGAAACGCTACTTCGACGACTTCATTATTGTTCAGTTGGACAGGAACATATTAAAGTAGGGCACAGCTATTGTAAGCCGTATAATAGCTTATAGGATAATTAACACTTTCGGCATTAATACATACTCACTTATCCCTTGCTTAAAATAATAAAAAAAAGTAGCAATAATAGTGTTATTCAAATGGCAACAGCAGTCATACTGCAGTTTTATATACAGTTTGTCGTATATTCTTATATATATATTGTTAAGGTTCCTCTAGAAATAATCTTCTTCTAAGTTTCATTCTTTATATGTCTTAAGGTTCTAATATGCCTAGGCAAGAACCCGTACGAGTCAAGTCGGACGAATATTGTAGGTACCTCATGTGGGTAAGCTAATTACTCACTGACCTGCGCAGAAGATACAAATCTCACGGTTTCCGTAATAGTCCAAAGACAGTAGCCTTTGTATTGTAGCTTGTAGATATATGGCATTTCAGGCCAATATTCAGCTAAGGGCAAGATGCTTCCACTCATTTACTAATAACCAAATGGATTACGGCAATAGTAATTATTACGACTCTGTTTGATAAAATTTTTTAAGCCGAGACTGCTGGAGTTAGGTCTTGTAGCACAATGTAAAAGCTTGATTAATACAAATTCAGTATTCTACCTTCTCCTCATTTTCATGCAAAATGTATAAAGATTTTGTGGCATTGGAGTGCACGAAGACAAACTTAACTCTTGCCTAAAAAGTAACGTTACTGAGTGAATAAATCCATTGCATGCAATTGTCTAAAGAAATAAGATTTTCGAGTTAAAAGTGTTTTTCTTATGCATCGTAGTCGGGCCGGGATCACTAATTCTAAGAAATGTCTGCTTTAAAAAAGCATTTTATTGGACGCTCTCGCGATAATCATTCCAACCAAATAAACTTCTGTATTATACGAAGACAACTATGCATGAACAAAATAAGTAGTTAAAAAAATGTCAGTGTCATAGAATTACGTGTACGTATAATTCCAAAATATCTCTACATAATGAAGCCAATTTTTAATTATTTTATCGACATCTGTGTATGGGCTAAATACCACAAAAGTGAATAACCGTATGCTGTGCTTAGAAGAATTTTAAGGAAAGAACGTATCAATCTTTCTGGAAGGTGTTATAACAAAGACATAGATTGAGAGACATTAGGACATAGATTATTATGGACATTATTATGGACATAGATTGAGAGAAATCAGGTACATTGTAAGGATGCAGAGGTGTAAGCAAGCTAGCAGAATAGGGTTTGAGTAATAACAGGCCGCGCCTTCCGGACGTAGCTATGGGTAATTCGGAAAATTCTCACATCTAGCCAGAAAAAGCTCTGCCGCATCGTTGTGAGTGTGGCAAGCCATGCAAATTCAAATCAAAATAGAGGATGCCATCTCTTCCGGATGTGAACTTGGTAATTTCACCTAACAATTTTACGTGGTTACTATCCACCAAATTACCAAAGTTACCAAAAGGGATTTCTTTCGCTTTTTGTAGAATAATACACTCTTAGGAACGCTGTGAGGTACATCGATAGATTTCAACGGATAAACATTGCACTAATTACATTCCATGATGCGTGCAATCAAGTGCGTATTGCTGAATTTTTTAAGTTAATTAAAGTCAGGAAGAAAAAAGTTACAGATATGCAAAAATAAATTATACGCATGGAACCCTTCGGGTCGACGTTCTTGTTCCTCTCCACCAAACATCGAAGGTAGAAATCTCTAGAAGCACACTTGTGAAGGGTCTTTTGAAGCAGATGGTGCATGTATTTCACAGTACGATCAACAGCAGCGGGGTTATCGCTATAGGGTGTAAGGGTTTTAAAGAATGAGAAAAGCCGATTTACACTACGATCAGTGTTCAAGTCAGTCTCAAGCAGAACATTAGGTCCTTTTTTGAAACTGCTCAGCAAGAGAACATGCATCGTGTTTGCGAAGTCAACAGATTATTTAAAAGAAGAAGTTTATAAAATAGCTCGACTCCTGAAGTATCTTAAGCGTTTGTGAGCGGAACGACTCAGCCAACGGTCATCTCGTGTATAATAAGTTAGTCCAGCTAAGAATCAGCGACATCATTTTCAATGACGTAAAGAACTTTGAGTCAACTGAGTGGCTCAGCTTAGTTAACTCGTTTATGAGAATATTTTCATGTAGCAGCACATCGGTAGAGGGAAGCGACTTGCCACAT